TGTGGCTGCGCCGCCACGGAGCGGGGCTGCGGTGGCGGCCGGGTCCTTCACAGCCTGTGCAGCGGGCTGTCAGCCCCTCCGGCGAGGCAGCCCCGGGCTGGGACCCTCTCACGCTCCTGGGGAGCAGGGAGGGCCGGTCCGCGCTGTGGCCAGCGCCCGCACAGGACCTCGGGCCACACGGTCGGCCGCTGTGGTCTCGGATCTTGGCTGGGCCGCAGGTGGCTCTGACCTTGACGAGACCCAGCTCTGCCTTGAGAGAGAAATGTAAACAACTGAGAGGAAAAAAAGGAGATAAGAAAGCAGAAAAAGAAGTCGGTGACTCAGTCTGTGCTCGTGGACAAAAGAAAAGTGCCAAATCAGTGTATTAGCTTAGAGGCGTGAACAAGACACTAGAGCCAATAGAGAAGCTGTAACTGGTGTGCACATGGTAAGAAAACACATAAACCAGCTGAAAGGACATCAATAACGGCTGCCTGTCTGCATCAAGGAAAAAGAACTCTCTGACTCGTTATTTTGGCCACGACAGGCCGCAGGCTGGCAGGGGGCTTGTGCTGGCCAGCAGCAGCTCGTGGCTCTCCCAGCACTGGGCTCAGTCCCACCTTTGGGTCTGTTTCCATGCCGGTGTGGGATGAGCCGCGTCCCATCAGAGCGTGGCCACCGCTCTGGTGAACAGGCTGGCCTGGCGCCCGCGTGCAGAGCCAGGGCGGGCAGGTGGGTTGTTCTGGTGCGCGGTGGTTGCTGTGGCTGTGCCGGCACTCGGGGGTCACCCGTGACCGCTGGGGTGCCACCGTCGGCCTGCGCGTGTGTCCCTGCCTCTGCCTGTGCGTGTGGCTGTACGTGCCCTTGCGGGACTCCACGTGTGGGTGACTCCATGTGAGCGTGTGCGTGCGCGAGGGACAGACTGTGCAGGTGCTTGGGGCAGCCGCACACATGCAGGCATGTGCGAGTGTGCGCTGGCCAGCGCTGGCCCCGTGGGGGTGTGCGTGACTCGGTGCCCCTGTGCGGAGGAGGTGCTGCCTGCCCCTGCCCTCCCTTCCCTGCGTGTCCTGCTTCAGGTGCACATTCCTGCCTGCGTGGGTGCTCGCCTGACTGGATGATCAGCACACAGCGACGTTTTCCCTCTGACTCACCAAGGTCGGTTTGGCTCTGGGGAACACACCTGGGCAGGAGGTCCCTCTGTTCGCAGGGCGAAAGTGGACGCCAGACCCGTTTCTGTTCTCCTGACTCCCTTCTCAGAATCTCTTCCTTGCCTGACACCTGTTTTCAGCCTGTGTTACGTTGCACTTCTTAATTGCAACTTCACTAATTGCACTTCACTGTAGGTTCAGCTCTTCCAGCTAAAGCTCCGTCCTGAGCTGCATCCTTGGCAGGAGCGGGGTGCGAGGGGGTGCAAAGGGCCGGGCAGGCCCATCCCCTCCCTCTCCTGTCTCTCAGCAGCCGGCTCCGTGCAGCGCAGACCCCGGATGGCGCCCGCAAGGCAGCGCCGGGTTGCTCTGCTTCGGTGTCCCCGCGCTACCCACAGCTGAGCAGGACGCTCCTCCGAGCTGTACCCGCGGCACTGGGCCACTGTCTGGAGCTGGCCCAGCTCGTTTAGACACCTCTGAAGCACTGGTAGTTGGCGGCTTCCCTCGGAGGTGCATAACTTTGCATTTGCCAGAACAGAGGCTGTGATTTATCTCCCCACAGTGGACGCCTCCTGCTGAGCTGGAGCCCAGGTCCCGTTACAGCGGAGCAGAGCGCAGCAGGACGCTTGCCGGAGCCCAGAGCGTAACTCCTCTGACCACGTGCACATGTCTGCGGTCGGATGTGTCCACAAAGCAGCCACCGGCCACATGGGCTGGGTCTCCCTTGGCTGCTCGGGGCAGCCGGGGTGGCCCAAGCCGCACACAAGCGTCACCTGCAGTGAATTGGGCCCAAACATCCCCTCCTGCCGCGCGCAGGTCTCGGAGCCACCCCCCCCTCCCCGCAGGCACCACATGGCTCCTCAGTTTTATCTCATGGAAATGCTGGTGCCTTGCCTCGGCCCCTCTCCCAGACCGTCCCCTCTTCAGCGGAGAGCAGGGCGCTCTCTTCCCCACGAGGACTGAGCAATCCCTCCTACGTTTCCCTCCCTCCCGCCCAGCCTGTCCCCGGGACGTGACAGACCGCTGAAGCAGCTTAGTTCCTTCATGACCTTCTCTACGGCACCGTCAAAGGCTTTTTGGAGATGGATTAAGTGAGCTGAGCTCTGCTGTACCCAATGCTGACTCCAAGAGGCCTTTCCCCAGGGGCTTAGGGCGACACTGCAGATGCACCCTGTGCCTGCACCCCCGTGTCTGCCCCCCCCGAGGGGGCTGCACCCTCTGATGTGAGGCAAGCTGGGCCCCACAGCCCCGGGGCTCACCTGCCCCCGTCCCCCCCGAGAAGGGCCAATGAAGAAGAAAGGTGCCCACAAGCGCATCTCCAGGCAGGGGGCCACTCCTGTGTCCCGGGGGCGACTCCAGCACCTGCACGCCTTCCCCAGGGAAAGGGAGCACGGCAGAGTCCCCGCTGAGCCTCCCAGCTTTGTGAATGCCACCGGTCCCCGTGCTGCAGAGCTGAAACACCCGTCCTCCAGGACAGGGCTGTGTGTGTGCTGCGTCCCCTCTGGTTTACTCACTGCTTTGGCCACCTGCTGTCAGACACGCAGGGTGTGAATCTCCTCCTGGCCCTTGGCTTTGCCTCTGTGGCTTGGGCCAGAATTCTCTCGGCCCCAGTCCCAAAGTCGCCGTGCAGGGGTGTGTTAATGGCACAGGGACGCTAGACCCTGCCCAGCAAGTCAGAGCCCAGCCGGAGCGTTGTGCAGCCGGTGCCTGGGTGTGTGCGACTGTGCTGCCTCCAGACCTGCCTCCATCCCTCCCTGCCTGCTCCTGGCGCTCCTCCTCAGACCTGAGACTTACAGGAGGGCTCCCGCCTCTGTCCCACCCGGGAGCATCACCGGCATCTTACAGTGTATTGGGTTTGCGTGGCAAGGGTTTGGTAGCCGGGGGGCTACAGGGGGGGCTTCGGTGAGGAGCTGCCAGAAGCTTCCCCAAGTCTGATGGAGCCAGCGGCAGCCAAGGCCGAGCCCAACAGTGACAGGGGCAGCCCCTCTGGGATAATGTGTGTAAGGAGAAAAAACCTGCACAGCAGCAGTCAGAAGAGATGAATGAGAATATCTGAGAGAAACAGCCCTGCAGCCACTGAGGCCAGTGAAGGGGGGCAGGAGGTGCTCCAGGGGCCAGAGCAGGGATCCCCCTGCAGCCCCTGGGGCAGCCCGTGGTGAGGCAGCTCTGCCCATGGGGGTCCCCGGGGGAGCAGAATCCACCTGCAGCCTGTGGGGGACCCCATGCCGGAGCAGGGGCAAACCCGAGGGAGGCTGTGACCCCGTGGGAGGCCAGGCTGGAGCAGGGTCCTGGCAGGACCCGTGGAAGGGAAGGACCCACGTGGGAGAAGTTGGTGGAGGACTGTGCTGTGGGAGGGACCCCCGCTGGAGCAGAAGAGGAGTGTGAGGGGTGTGAGGAGTGTGAGGGGTGTGAGGGGTGTGAGGGGTGTGAGGGGGTGAGGGGTGTGAGGGGTGTGAGGGATCCTCCCCCTGAGGAGGAAGGAGCGGCAGAGCCAACAGACCATGAACTGCCCACAGCCCCCATCGCTGCCCCCTGCGCCGCTGCAGGGCAGGAGGGAGAGAAATCGTGAACAAAGCTGAGCCCGGGAAGAAGGGAGGGGTGGGGGAAGGTGTTTTATTTCACACTCTCCTACTGTGTCTATTAACTGGTGGTGATGTTCAAATTAAAATTGATGTTTTTCTTCCCCAACCAAGTGTACCTTTTGCCCATGACCATGATTGTCCTCTCAATCCCCGAGCCTTTTTTTTAATCTTCTGTTATGTAACCCAATGAATATGGATATCTACACTCTATCAGTTTTGGTAAAATGTGCAGTGGGTGTGCAAGCTGTGTGGAGAAATCCCCTTGCACCCTGGCCGGAGTAAACATGCCTGCTTTATAACTCTATTCGAGTTGTAGAGTCTTTTATCTGTGAATCAAGAGTTGGCACATTCTTAATGTTAACTTCAAAGTCCATAGAACCAATACCTTCCAAAAAGCCTGCAGAGCACTATGGGTTCTTTGTGTCCGTCTTGTACTTTCATGGCAGAAGAAAGAGCAACCATGGTGAAAC